AAATGAATCCAACCTGATTTAACCGTTTTCAACATGGTTCTTGTGCTTTAGATAAAGACCTCTCCACAACCATTTAAAATCTTGGAAAATTTTCGATCACAAGCCCATATATGTCCCGAAAGAAAATGCAAGCTTCATTTTGTTTTTATGTGATTGTTCATGGAACTGTATTTTTTTTTTCAACATGCATCGACAACCACAATAAATAAAAAAAGGCATTAAAAAGGAAAAAGAATATTAGCAAACAGGAAAACCCAGCACCGCACTTATACCACATTAAAAACATCTTCCATGTGAACATCTTTATTTTAATCACCAAGTGGTATTTAAAAACATCAAAATTAAATCTGGCACCAAAAATTTGGTAGCAAGTGTTGATTATTATAAGATATCTTCCCGTGATTCAACTTGTTAGCGTCAAACCATTGTGCTTTAACTTTATGTTATAGGCTTACCAAAATCAGAATTTTTTGCACAACATGTTTTGATCGTGAATTTGTAACAGTTGGTTTTGACTTAACCATTTGGAGGTGCTCGACTTAAGTGGAACTAACATCAGCTACAACATTCTATCATATTTGGTTGGTCTTCCAGCTTTAAAAACTCTAATTCTAGAATGTAGTGGACTAAACGTGAACCAAAGCATATATAGGAGGTAAGCTTGCTTTATCTCCATTTTATTGTAATTATAATTTTTGATGAGCTTAAATTATATACATATTAATGTGAAATTGTAGTCTTGATATTGTTGATATTTAGATGAGTTTTATGAGATTTTACATGGTTTTCATTTTTTGTGTAGAAAAAGGCTTGAATGCATAAAAATAAGAGTTTTGGGATTAATTGAACATTTTCTTAAAGTTGAGGGACTGAATTGCAAGAAGAAGGGCGACTTTTGGGACCTAAATGAATGAATCTTGAGCTTTGGGATCTAAGTGCTAGCATAAAAAAGATGGAGTACCAGATCTGTCATTTTACCATTGAAGAAATTGCAAAAGCAGTCCAGGAACTTGACATGAGTGTAGTGTCGACACATAATCTGGGTGTGGACACCATGCGTTAATAGTTCATAATCAAACTTTTTGTTTTCTGGTTTCTCTCGACACGTAATTCTATCGACACGTAATTCGGAGTATCAGCACCATGCGTTCAACATTCAAAATTCAACTTTCTTATTTTTGTTCGAAATCCTACTTCTATTTCAATTAAGACTTTTAAAATCTTATAAATACTCACTCAAATTCAGAATTAAGAGAGTTTGGTGGAGGCTGGTGACAGCTCTCTTTTGGGCATTCTTGAAGATCAAGAGAGAGGATTCAACAATAGAAGATCAACGATTGTAATTTTCTCAAATTAAATTTTATTCTTCTTTATTATTCTTATGTTCATAAGTATGATTTTAGATTTTATTATTTTTATTATGAACTGATTTATTCTACTAGGGTTATGACGTAATTTAATCAATTTAATATTGGTTTTGTGATTTTATGTTTTCAATTAAAGTTATTTGTATGGGAAGTTTATATTATTGAATTTAATGCATTGGAAGCCTGATTACCTTTTGATTGATTTAGTGATATATGCATAAACTTGAGAATGAATTGTGTAAATTAGATCAATAATAATATAAACCGTGTGTTAGACTATGAGACAGAGAGATAATTAGCTCACATGTGGTAGTGGAGGAAGAGAAGAGAGTTAGGAGCTATCCTTTCATTAACTAGAAGTTTTCATAGAATTTAATGCTTATTAGTTTGTTTAAAATTATATAGAGATATAATTAATTTGACAAACAAGGATTAGTTTGACTTGAGAAAGCTGGTTAATTAATTTAGGAAAATCCGTCATCACATGCAATAACACTCAACAAATTAGTATATTAATTCAGAATTTATATTGATTGATTATGATCAAATCAATGCCTTAGTATCTCATATTTTGATTAGGTTTAATTTAATTGTTATTTTCTTTTTATTATTTTTTAATTAAACTTTCTTCCTTTTCGATAGTTCAAATAAATTTGAATTAATTATTTTGATACTTAGTTAAACACAATTCTCGTGGGTTCGAGACTTTTTTCATCATTATATTACTTGGGGCAACTAATACACTTGTTATGTTGATTTTAATGCATCAATTTTCCTTGAGAAAAATGTGTTGTCTTATTATATTTTATTGGGCTAAGCATTTTTTTGGTAACTTTTTCATCTTTACTGTAGTTTTTCCCTTTTTTTTTATGTGCATAGAAAATTTTTATAAATATAATATTCTTGCTCTAAATTTGTTAATTATGACCAAAGATTCTGTGAAGATAATTCATTGTTTATTATTATTATTATTATTATTAGGTTTTCATAACTTGTCTAATGTGAAGGAGTTGTTTCTGGATTATTCTATTCTCCCAACCAACTTCCTTCTTGGCATTGGAGCATTGACTTATCTAAAGGTTTTATCACTACGGGGATGTGGACTCAATAGCTCCTTAACAAGAAAAGGTTAATTATGGCTCCTTAAAATTTTACCATTTTTTACACATTGTATTTTCTTTGGTGCTATATGAGTTACTTTGTAAGTGTTGTATATGTTTATAGGGCTCTGCGAATTGACAAGTCTTCAAAATTGGGATATCAGAAACAATTTTTTAGGGGGAGCCTTGCCTTCATGTCTTGCAAATTTAACTTCTCTTGAGAGTTTAAACCTCAATCTAAACTTTTTTTTTTTTCTTTTTTTCTAGTGATATAGCTTTACAACCCCTTAACAAATTGATGTCCCTTCATTGCCTGTCACTTTCAAACAATCACTTCCAAGGTCCAGTCTCCTTTCGACCATTCTTCAACCATTCAAAACTCAAGATTATTATTGCAGAAAACAACAAATTTTATGCGGACACCAACGTTGAATCTTTAGAACCAACTTTCCAACCAAATACCTTAAATTTGTCTGGTTACGGAGACTATGGAGGAATTCCAAACTTCCTCTACTCTCAACATGACCTCGAATATTTAGACCTCTAGCACCTTAACCTAACTGGAGAGTTTTCCATTTGGTTGTTGGAAAACAATATAAAGTTGAACATATGTTTGATTGTTTAACATTTCCCTTTCTGGACCTAGCGGCCGGGTTGCTAGTTCATTCTCTTATGAGTTTGCACCTTCTAGACATCTCCAAAAATTTGTTTGATGGCCATATTCCGATGGAGATCGGAGCCTCGTTGCCTAGTTTAGTATACTTGAACATTTTAGGAAATTCTCTTATTGGTAGAATTTCACCATCAATTGGTGATATGAAGTTTCTAAAGTCTTTGAACTTATCTCACAATAACTTATCTGGTGGAATACATGAGAAGTTAAGCATGGGTTGCTCATCATTGAGGTTTCTACTCTACCAAACAACAATTTGCAAGGCCAAATATTTTCTCTGAAAATTTTAGCTTATTCTAGCTAGGGGAATTACATTTGGTTCGCAATCACTTTTCTGGAAGTGTCCCAAAAAGCTTATCTAATTGCTCCAATTTGCATTTTATAGATTTCAGCAGTAACAATTTCTTTGGAAGGATCCCGAGGTGGATGGGTAATATGTTATCTTTGAGGGAAATTATCATGCCCAATAATGGTTTAGAAGGTCCAATTCCTATCGACTTTTGTCAGCTTCGAAACCTTAGTCTTTTAGACCTTTCAAATAACAATATTTCAGGAAGTCTACCAACTTGTTTCAGCCCAAAGTGGATAAGTCATGTTTATTTATCCAAAAACAAGCTAGAAGGATCACTGACAACACAGTTTTGTGAACACCCTTATCTAATAACGCTAGATCTTAATGACAACCAACTAAGTGGTAACATCCCGAATTGCATAAATATGCTTAGTGAGTTGAGTTATCTTACCTTGAAGAACAATAATCTTGAAGGTAAAATCCCAATTCAGCTATGCAAGTAGCAAAAATTGAGCTTGATTGATCTATCTCATAACCATCTCTCCGGCTATATACCTTCTTGCCTAAATATTACCACTCTTGATGAGGCATACTTTGTGGATGATGTTGCTCTTTCTTCCGATCTAGCTGTTTTACCACCGGTTCCGTCACCAGTTCTGCCACCTGCTCCTACTTCTGGGGATCCTATTTATATTGATGAACTAGTGCATTTCACAACAAAGAATATGGCGTATCCTTACAAGAGGAAAATTTTCATCTACATGGCTGGAATATAGATCTCTCTTGGAACAAGTTAACTGGTATAATACCCTTTTCTGGTAAATAATTAAAATATTAAATATTCATTAATTTTAATTAAATAAATATTAAAAGTAAAAAAGCAACAAATGAAACTCTGTCTACTGTTTTATTACTTTGATTAATATTTTTTATTTTTATAACTGAACCTAATTTATAATTTTAATTTCGATTACCAAAAATTTGAATTTTTTTAACATGATTCATCCAATTAACAAAATTTTTTTAATCTTTTTAAGTAAAAAAAGTTTTTTTTAATAATTAATCAAAATGAAATATTTTAATTAATTAAAATTTTAACTAAATTAAT